ACTCCAGACACATTCAGCTACCTCATCTTTGACAAAGGAGCCAACCATCCTCACTGGAAGAAAGATAGCCTCTTTAATAAATGGTGTTGAAAAAACTGGATTTCAAATTGCCAAAGATTAAAACTAGACCCCCTATCTGTCACTATGCACTAAACTAAAATCAAAGTGGATTAAAGATCTAAATATTAAACCGGAAACACTAAACTTGCTGGAAGACAAGTTAGGTAGAACTCTCCAAGACACTGGCATAGGAAAGGTTTTTATGAACAAATCCTCAGTAGCACGGGAACTAGCAGAAAGAATCAACAACTGAGATCTCATCTTATTAAAAAGCTTCTGCACTGCAAGAGAAACCAACAGAGCTAAGAGACAACCCACAATGTGGGAAAAAATTTTCACCAGCTGTTCCTCAGACAAAAGTCTACTATCTAGAATATATAAAGAACTCAAAAAAATCAGACCCCCCCCATATATAAAGACCCAATTCAAAAATTGGGCATCTGAAATGAACAGACATTTCTCAGACAAAGAAGTAAAAGCAGCAAATAAACATATGAAAAAATGTTCAACATCACTGGTCATTCGAGGGAAGCAAATGAAAACAACACTGAGATTCGCACCTTACCTCCAGAAAGAATGGCTGCTAACATGACATCAACCAATAACAAATGCTGGCGGGGGTGGGGGTTGGGAGAAAGGAACCCTTCTCCATTGTTGGTGGGAATGCAGACTGGTGCAACCACTGTGGAAATCAGTATGGAGACACCTCAAACAACTAGGATTGGAAGTCTCATTTGACCCAGCTATTCCTCTACTGGGTATCTTCCCAAAAGAATTAAAAGAATCGTACCACAGTAATATATGCACACCCATGTTTATAGCGGCACAGTTTGTAATAGGAAAAACTTGGAAACAGCCCAATTGTCCATCAAGTGGAGACTGGATAAAGAAGATGTGGTTTTTTTATAAAATGGAGTACTACTCAGCCATAAAGAATGAGAAACTAGAGACACTTATAGCTAAGTGGATGCACATTGAAGCGATACTCTTAAGTGAAATAAATAGGACACATATGTGTAAATACCGAATAGTTTCTCTGGTGTGAAAAACTAAAAGTGTAAATAAGAATCAAAATGTATAACTGATATTGTGAAATAGGCAGAAAATGTCTAAAGGAATAGGGGAAGTGAGAGGGGAAGGGGAAAGGAAAGAAGGGAAAAGAAAAAATATGAAAAAAGGAAAAACATGGAAACGAGGTCTTTGTAAATAGGGAAGGGTGGAGGAGGTAAAGGGAGGACAGGGAATGGGGAAAAAAGAAGAACCAAGATACATCATGTAAAGGTACAAGATCCCAATGATGAATGTAACTGTATTGCATACCTATAATGTACCAATAAACTAAATGAAAAAAAAAAGATGTCCACATTCAGTCTTCTAATCATCTTTTTTCTTAAATGCCTAATTGAATATTAATAATGAATTTCAAAACTATACCAACATAGCTGATAAATAACCCCAAAGTGACCTTATCTAAAAATATTAAGCCAAAACAATTGTCTTCAATGAGGCCCATGTAGTCTCATCAAGATATAACTACTTTCTGGGGGCTTATCTTCAAATATTTGGGTCTTAAAGTTTAAGAAGTGATTTAGCTAGTCTTTTTCTGAACTCTAGAAAAACATGATATAAGTCATCTTCATCTCTAGAAAAGTCTGTTTTCTAATCCCACTCATCTACATACACAAGACATTCATTTAGAACCTAAGATCAAGCCCTAAACTTAAGAGACAGACCCAGTCTCAAGTTATGACAATTATTTCAATTGGTATCAGAGACCTCCAGTTAACATCTCTAAGGAACATACCTGCCCCATCAATGTACGCCACTTGTGAAAGATTAGGCTATTCATTCTAAGAGCTTATCTTAAACTCAACCAGCCTCTATTTTCATTTTGAGTTCGAAGAATGAAAAGGAGTATCTGAATGAGTATACTCATTTTTACAGAGAGGACAATGAGTTCAAGAAGAAAACATGAAACAAAAAAAGAAAGAAAAAAACATGAATTGTCGATGATCACATACCTAATTACTGTAGATGTCAGAACAGAAGTCTTTCTACTATCAAAGGAATTTGATAGAATTTAAATTACCCCCCAAGGACACCACATCCAAAGGTGACTTAAGAAATAGATCAAGGAAACTCAGTTCTATTTTGGAACATTAGCTGGCTGAGAAGCCAGTGGAAACTGGCAACTGTCCCCTTCCCAGGGTGCTGATCACACTTCTGTCCAAGACTCTTCCATGAGCTACCAGCGTGAATTTTGCCAACAGTAAGACATGCAGAGAAACTCGGGCACTGCACCACTGATCACAATATCGCTGCATAATAGTCATGATCTTTGGGAGTGATCTGGCAACTACAAACTACCTTGTGATATCATCAGCTGAGTTTCCTATACTGGCTTTTATCTCACCATTGCCAAACACAGTTTCCTAATTCAACAAATGGATATTATGTTTCGCATAGTCTGAAACTGGACAAATTTCTCAAGAAGCTGTGCTGCTTCAAGGGGTGAGAGTTAAATCCAATCTTTCTGAATAGAGGCACTACAAGCCTCCTGTTAATCCCAGCACTCGGGAGGCTGAAGCAAGAGGATCGCTTCAAGTTTGAGGCCAGCCTGGGGTACAAAGTGAGATCAAGGTCGGGCTGGAGGTTTAGCTCAGTGGCGCCAGAGCCTGCCTGGCAAGCCCAAGATCCTGAGTTCAATCCCTGGTTCCACAAAAAAAAAAAAGAGAGAGAGAGACACTATGACATTTTGAAAATAATAATTTTTGGTTGTATGGAATTCTACAGTACACTACAATACACACAGTTTAGTACCACTAGTCCTCTTAGATATATTATTTTGTTCATTAACTATAAAATCAAATTTGAATGAACTAGTTATATAATTAAGACACTTGTATGGTCAGGGAAATAGAGTAGAAAAGTTACTGAAATGAAATGAAAACATATGAATTTGAATTCCAGTTCCCTGGCTATTCACTCTTAGGTAAATTATTTCCCTTCATCAGTTCTCAGTTTTCTCATCTATGAAAACAAAAAGTAGCCAGCATGATGACACATGCCTCTAATCCCAGCACTCTGGAAGCTGAGGCTGGAAGATTGCATGTCAAGTCCAGACAGGGCAACTTAGCAAGACTCGGCTTCAAAAGAAAAAAAAAAGAAGGCCAGGAAGGCCTGGGAATGTAGCTCAGTGTAAAAGCCCTGAGTTCAATCCTCAGTAATACCACCAAAAGAAAAAAAAAAAAGCATTAGGCTAAATTGTCTCTCTGGTCCATTGCATTTCTAGGAATCTATGAAATAAAACACAGTAACTTAAGGCTGGGGATTTAATTTAGCTCAGTGGCACTGAGCCTGCCACACAAGGTCCTGAGTTCAATTCCCAGTACTGGAAAAAAGAAAAAAAAACATAATAACTTGCTGTATTTCTTTTCTTTTTGGTACTGGGGATCAAACTCGGGTCCTTGCACTTGTGAGGCAGGTGATTGAACCAGTAAATCCCCAGCCTCAGAAACCAGGATTCTAAACCCATGGTATAACAATAAGGCAGAAGAGTCACCCCCAGCCAGATCCCATCTGAGATTTTACTATATCAGTATCTTGAGTATATAAAATGAAGCTGAATTACTTTATGACCCATTAATAACAGAAGTAACAACATAATAACAGCAGTAATAACCACCCTAATTTATGCTTAGCTAGGTTAGGCCTATAATCTTAATACTAGATGTATATTAGAATCGCTCAGCTAGCCTTTTTAAATATTGCCCCAGTTGCAGGGTAAGCCAATACCCAATGAAATCAGACTCTCTAGGGATTCAGCTTATTTCTTAACCACCCTCCCTCCCAAGGAATTCTGTTGAACAGTGACCACTTTAATCCAAGGATCGCAAAGCAAATGACTAAAGGTTAGTATCTTACACACTGGTTGGAAAATCAAACATCAATAAATAACAATAGTACAGTGTTATTATTTACTAACATTCTCAATTACAGAGACTGTGTTTCTACAGAAAAAAGAGAGCTCTATAAGAGCCCCTTACTCATATCATAATCCTTTACTGAGGACTGGCTATACTAGAAACAGAATATAACTTCCTGACATGATGAAGCAATTCAAAGATTACTACAAATTTTCCCACTTCTGCAGAATTCCTATCAATCATCAAGAAAGTGAAAACAGGGTTAGTCAAAGTAGAATAGCGATTGAAATTCCTTAACCTAACTCACTCACTAGATCTCACTAACAGATCTACTATGTATGAAAGATAAGAAAAAGTTGAGAAAAATACTTAAGGAAAAGCCAATTCCAAAACCTCCAAAATACATCATTTCCCATTTACTCATTAAAGGTATGCTTCCAACTGGAAAGAAAATGAGGTGTATTTTTTGGTTTTTTTTATAAAATGGAGTACTATTCAGCCATAAAAAATGAAAAACTAGAGTCATTTATAGCTAAATGGATGCATATTGAGGCCATCCTCTTAAGTGAAATAAATAGGACACACATGTGTAAATACCGAATTGTTTCTCTAGTGTGAGCAACTGATAGTGTAAACAAGGGTT